ATATATATATATATGTATATATATATAAGCTTTGGGTATTTAAGGGATGTTGAACTCTCAGGGTCAATGTATGTGGGAACTCAGATAAAAAACAGTAGTATTTCATTTCTCAGCTTTTTGACTTTCTGGCTCTATGCTCAGCTTCCTAGCTTATAGGATCTGTTCTGGATCTACATGGTGAGGACATGCCTGGGCATGAATAAGGGGTTAAGAACCTGACTTTGCAGCTTGGATAGCACCAGTGGTCTGGATGGTGCTAGAAGTGGCTGATGTGTACCTTTCAGATCCTGGGTAATAGTTCTTAAACTAAGCCGATACCTGGCTGAGAATGGTGATCTGGGACTGTTTGAACTTCATCTAGTCATTTACTCAACAAATAATGATTGAGCATAACATGGGGAAGCCACTGTTCTAGTCAAGCCACAATAGCCAATGAAACAGTTCTTGCCCTCATGGAGTTGGAGGATTCACCCAAGTAAATGGGTAGTTAAAGCATAGTAAGGGCTATGATAAGGATTCCCTTTGGGTTAATATGGTAGTATTTGAAAGGGGTTCCTAGCCCAGCCAATGGTGTATGGGTTGATCTGGGAAGAAAGTAGGGTATCTAGGCTGATACCTGAAAGGTGAGGGGCTATCCTTATAGATATGCAAAGTGTATGTCCTCTCTGTGTGTATATGTATTTGTATGTGTCTGCATGTGAGGCGGGAATGTCTGGAATTTATTTTGGGTAGGGTTAGGGTTAGAGTAAGTATCAAAGCACCAGGGCTTCAAACTGATTTGAAGCAGTTCAGTCATGGTTGACTCAGTGCAATCAGAACAGACCTGAATTTGTAAAATGTGGGTGTATTCAAACAAATTCAGGTATGGGCAAAATTACGGGTTGAAGCCCTGAAATGGGAGATTTGGAAGAGGCATAGGGAGCCCTTTCAGGAGCCTGATGCATGTGATTGGATTATTGCAAGGACTGTGGAAAGCAACAACACATTCAAAGCAGTGTGGTTGGCTGCCATCTTTGAGCTGGGTACCATTGTTTCTGACTCTGCCAATTAAGAGATTTGCTTGCTACACAACACACATGCTACCCTTGTTTTCTAGGTGGGAGATTAAGTTTCAAGCAGGATGTTGACATGTAATTCTTCCTGTTCTAGTTATTATTCCGGTACATCCATACTTTAGAAATTTGGGTCCATTCTGGTTATGCTTCATTGGCCATGACTGAACTGGGAAGAGACAGTTTGAAGCTCTGTACAGCACATACAAAACCTGGAGAGGAGAGATCAAGGTGCATTCCATGCACTTCCATTTGGTTCCACATGGTTGGACATCTACACAGAGGGGTGGAGGCTGCGTTAAGGGTTGGGGCTGGAGAAGAATAAGCAGAAGCCAAAAGAAGGATCATGAATGACACGCTGAAGAATTTGGATTTATCTTGAGGACACTAATGAGTTGTTGAAGGGCTTTAACCTAAGAGAGGATGGCATAAGCTTGACGTTGAGTTCTGCCCCTGACTTTGCCATTGCTTCCCCATGCATATTGGCAGTGCCATGACCCACAGGAATAGGTACAAAAGAGTCTGTGACTCTGTAGGGCATCACTGCCTTGGGGCAAAGGCAGTTCATGTGGTAGCTAAGAAAATGCGTTTTCTAGTCATTGAGAGTGGCTGTACCAACTCTCAGGAGCTCAGTAGAGCTGTGTACATAGAATAGAAAGAACCTAAAAGTTGTCACACTAACACCCCTGACTTGAGGCCCAGTAAATCTCAACTGGGAACCTTATGGCAAACAAAAAGTTGATAGTAATGTTTGTATTACTTAATGACTGAGTTCTCCATTGAAAACTCAGATGACAGTGGCCTTAACATCATAGTGTTCAGTTCTTAGTGTACCAAGGTCACTGGGGTACCTCAGTGAACTCATGGGGAGTCACAGAATATTTTAAATTTGAAAGAGAACGTCTGTTGAACTCATACATGAGGCAAACCCTGAGCCTGAGGAAACTCACAGTTTATGAATTAGATTGAGCTGTGCTCCTTATGGTGATATCAAAGCTTAGTGAAGCTGCATTTCCTGTGTTGTTATTGTTAGATGCCACTGAGTCAGCTCCTGATTCATGGCAACTCCATGCAGAGTGGAACCAAATGCTGCCAGGTTTTTTTCCATCCCCATCATCTGTTGTGGATTGAGCCACTGTGACCCATCATTTTCATTGGCTGATTTTCAGAAGTAGACTGCTAAGCCTTTCTTCCTTGTCTGTCTTAGTCTGGAAGCTCCACTGAAGCCTGTTCAGCATCATAGTAACATGCAAGCCTCCACTGACAGATGGGTGGTGGCCATACATGAGGTGCATTGGCCAGGAATCAAAGCTGGGTCTCTTTCATGAAAGATAGGAATGCTACCACAGAACCAGCACTGCCTGCGTTCTCTGTAGTTATTGTGGTCAAAAGCAAGTACCAAGTGAATCAATGCAGAACGGGAAATGAAGGTGGTAGTGTCCAGTCTTATTCCAGGGTTTGAGAAGTACAGTGCACCATTGGAACACATACCCAATTAGTAATGTGGTTATTTTAGAATGAAGTAACAGTACTACTTTTCTTTCAATTTAGATGTATTATTATATTTTTCTAATAGTTGATAATTTGTTAGTACATAAATACTAGTAAGTTGTTTAACCTAACTACTTCATATAGGGAACTGTTAGGAGTTTCTTTGGGCCTAGAGGCACTGAAAAAATTACTGAGACACTAAGAATGACGTGAATGGACAACATGGGAGAACCTGTGTCAGAGGGCTACAATTTTCTCATGCAAGAAGAAAGCTGAGGTAGGCGATTGTTGCTCACAGGTGGCCACTCAAGGGTGTCTGGACC